TCACAACGAGCTATTATCCAAGTCATCTTGAAAACATTCTTCTTCCAAATGTTGGCTACATATTACGGGTTTTTTCTCTGGCCAGAAGTTCGATGGCAAATCCTCCCTCTTCAAGTTGGCGATCCAACGACCAACCCGTCCGTGGAGGATCAGGAATCAGAAAGGTGAAATAACAAATTTTTTTCACTTTTACCCAATGTATTCCAACGTCCAACTGCCATGCACATGGACATTGTCAGTTTCACTGTAGCTCTGGTGAATTTCAATGGTGAAGTCCTCTGGAAATCTTCAATAATTGTTGTTGATTGCATATGTGTCAAGTAGTTCCCATTGATTTTGCTTGTAAAGCGGGGAGAATGGCGCTAGGCTTACCGCACCGTGACGTCACTGCTGGAAGTTGTCAGGAGTTAGGTGTTACTACAGTATATTTGGGTAAAAATGGCTGCTCCCAGACTCAGTAATGGTGACAAAAATTATTATTTTTATTTTTTTACTGATTAACCCCAAATTCATTAAATCACAGTGAACGTATTAGTTTTAGGTATGGATAATTATCCATTGATCATTCCTTGCTGACCGAACGTTTCCTTTAATCATACTCAATGACTTCTTACAGGATAAGCAAGTCTGGACAACGGAGTGCGGCTCAAACACGAAAGAAGTAAAAACTGTATTTGCAACCATTTTTTAGCAAAGGATTTTTTTATCCTTTTCAGCTTGAAAAAAAACACAAATTATTAACTTGTTTAGACTGAAGTATATTATACTAATTGAATGACAGATCACAGGTTGGATGAAAAGCTCTTTGAGTTTTGAAAATGACCGTCTCATCTTGTTTTTGTTCACCTTTTTCATGAATAGCTGTGAGTTCTCACAGCTACATCTCTAAAGTTAACCCTTTCAGCATGTGATACAGAAAATAATACATACTATTTAAAATGATTAAAATCATATCAAACAGAGCTTTTGAAACAAACATTTTCACATCAGATTAAACAGAGATAATGTGAGATGTTAAGTTGCAACAAACAACTTTTTCACTCCTCTATACACGCATTGACTCTGCATGTCATCTCTTCCATTAGATCGTTGGCTCGAAGCAGAAAACTGAACCCACTTCTCATCTTGGTTATCCTGATACAGAAACATATATTAGTGCTTAATCTAATGCTTAATCTAATAAAGATTTGGTCTTAATCTTTAAACCAACTTTTTCACCAGACTCACCTCTGAATCTGCTGTGTAGCGATCTGCTGTTCCTGCATCTGACTTTTCTATAAAAGAGATTATATTTAATTATTTTAAAAGCATCATTGTTTCTAATTATTATGCCCACATTTTTAACATTTACCTGTGTGACATTGGCCTGTTGTCTCCATATTGCATATTGAAAAAAACATCAAAGCATTAAGGATGAGGATGAATGTCAGAGCTCCACTTAAGCACTGGACAAGTTCAGAGAAGTTCATCACACCTATAGAAATAATATATCAGGCATTGCTTACAGGTTTTTTTGTATTTATCAATAAAACTGTCCATTAGAAAATGATGAAAAATATTTGGTTTATTTTACTCTAAGTAAAAAGAAATCATATTGGAATATTTCTTACCTGTTGATCTTTTATTTTGTTTCTCTTCAAAGATTATATGTCCACATGAGGCTACAGCACAGCGGTGAGTCCCGATATCAAACACATTCAGTGGCAGACTGTAGTCACAGGTTGATGTCCTTTTTGTTCTGTTACACTGAGTGTAAATGATTCCTGGATGATGTTCTTTAGCGTCTCTAAACCAGTAGAAACTGCCCTCTCCATGGCAGCTTCCTGTGTCCACCACACAGTCCAGTGTCTGGTCAGTTTCTGATACTGTCTGATGGGCCAACGTGTGGACCTTAGAACCAGAACCTTCCACTATGACTGTAGCTCCATCTCCAAACTCAAACTTATGTGCATCCATAGCGACGCAGTAATAAATAGCTGAGTCTGAAGCTTGCAAATCAGAGATTTTAAGGTGATTTTTACCCTGACCCCTTTCAAGTACAAACCGAGGATTGTTCTTGAACTCATTGTGAAAGCTGCCATTTTCATTGCGCTTATATAGAGTAGAAATAGCAGTTGGTTTCTGGCCCAGAGTTTGTTTAAACCAGTAAAGCATTACTGCACCTCTAAGGTAGAAACAGGGCAGAGTAACGTTGCTGCCAACATTTACTGAATAAAAAGCCCTTTCCTGGCGTATAAAGGTGGAGGAGCTCATGTCAGGGTCCTGAGCTGTAGAAAGAAAAAGAAAAATCACAAAAATCTTTCTAGTTCATTGTCAAAAAATCTATTAGATCTGAGTTCATGTATGTATTAAAATCATTTAAAAAGCTTACCCAAACTTTCCACAAATAGAAAAGTCAGAAACCAGGTAACCTCTATTGGTGTCATTCTATGTCGCAATGGTACACCCGACCAAATGAAATTCATTCTGAGCACAGTTGATTAGAGAGAGGACTGTGGCTGACTGAAGCGAAGAAACGCCTTAATACAGAAACAGACACCTGATGCGCCTTTGTGCTGATTTTTACCCCTTGGTGTAAATGTTGAGGAACTTTATCTGAAAAAAATCTCTTTTCTTCCATTTCAATTATTTGTTGTACAGCCAACAATAGCCTATATAGAACCATTCATATGACATTATGCTTTAAAAAAAAGCATTAACGCAGAGAAAATTTAAATATCCAAATAGCACAATGATTACAAGAAAGGAATATCTAAATCAAAAAAATTTTGCAAATATCTTAAAATGAACATCTCTAGCCTATTGAATTGTGCTTCATCATCTCCAAATCCATGTTTGATGAATTATCCATAGCTTGCTAGATTAAGAGGGCTACATTTAAGTGCAGAAATACCAGATATAAATAAATCATATATGGATCTGATCTGCTTTATTGCTTATTTTATCTTTTTTTAATTTGTTTTTCTATTTTTCATTGTTATCATAAAGAACATAATCTTTAAATTAAGAAAAATTAGTATTCCACATGTAAAAAAGGTTTGTAGCTGCTTAGTTAATAGAATAGTAACAGTACGTGCTTTAATATGCAAGGCTGGTATGTGTTATAGTAGGTGTACTAAAGTATAATTATGCCATATTTCTCATTTGTTACCACACCACTCTCATGTGTTTGGACATTGCATGTTAGCTGAAGGTATCTCAGAATATTTTATCTGTTTATAAAGACTATGCTTTAGGAGAAAACAGGTCTGTTTTCATGCCCTCATTTCTTAGGCTGGGCTGCAGTGCATGTATTTCAGAAGTTTAAAAAAATCTTATTTCAATTCACTGTTGAAGACCACAAAACATAATCTGACTTTAATCCACACAACTGCGAAAAAGTAAAGACCACATTCAACAAAAAGAGGCCTATAAAAACAAATGATGATTGTTGGCTGCTGTTAGGAATCCAGTTTGTGTGGCTTGTGCTTTTGTTTGTGTTCCCTCCACCACCAGGCGGCGTCTGGTTCTCATTGGCCTCCTCACACACCTGTACCTCATTACCGGAGGACTCTTAAGCTGCTGACTGCCACTACCTCGACGCCAGAGTGTTTGCCAGTTTTGGGTACTCTAGCAAAGCTGAGTTTTACTGAGTCAAACTGAGTTTTTGTCAGTCTGAGTTTAACCTTGTTGTTTTGTCTTTGTCTCTCGGCAGGAAGTCATCCTGCAATCTGGATGTTTTGGACCTTCTCCCCCCTGAAAGGATTCTCTGAGCACCAAACTGAGCTGAGGATTCGAGCTTGTGGTTTGCATCAACTTTTCCCCCAAGGATTATTTGGGCATCTCTCTGAGCAGGGGATTCATCTTCACAAGTACCGTTCAAGTACCACAGGAAAATTAAGTGGCAGTCAGCTCCTCCGTTCCTCAAGGAAAAACCGCAATCTGGGTAAACCCTGTCCCCCTCCAAAGTGCAAGTCATTCACTGGAACAACCCACACCGACTGGATTCAACAAGAGACACCTTTTTCTGTAAACGTGAGTCCACAGCCTTAATTCCCTTCTTCAAATCTAAGACACAAATTTCCCACTGAGCCTGAACTAACCCCAGAATCTTCCCTTTCATTTTTCAGTTCCGGTTCGACAGTGTTCTGAGCAGCACTGGACTTCTATCACCAACTCTGAATGAAACCTGTTGAACTTTTCCCTGGTCCCTCTTTTTGGTCTTCTGCATGTGGGTCAGAGCCTTAGATAAAATCATGACAGCTGCAAAAAGCCAACTAGACAAAAGATGTTTAAAAGCTTCTTAAGAGCTTTTGTTGATTGCTTTTTACTTGTATCTTATGCAGGCCAGTTAATTATACATCAGCCTGAACACATAAATTCATCCAATCATATCAACGGTCATTTGTCAATCACGTTTTTTTCGGTCATAGCATGTTGATTCATATGTTGCAGCTAATTTCCTCAATGGTTAAAATAAGAAATAAGAATAATTTCCTTTCTCATTGAGTTGCGTCCCAGTGTTCACGGGGATGGACGTCTGTGTCTTCAGCAGGCGTAGAGCTAACAGAACTGGCAGCGTTGCGAGGCAAGGGCTCAAACATGTACGGCTGGAAGCCTTCTACACCAAACCAAG